CTTCCCGACCACCTAGGAAAAAAGTTTATTCACCCTAAGGTATTCTATTGATAATTATAAATTTGGATATAAATGAGATTCAGGAAAAAAACCTGTGCAAAAAAAGTGACTCAGATATCGCATTTCTATAATTAAACTGGTAAATTTAAAGAACTTTTGACAAAATATTGAAAACTGTTTTACAATACACTCAGAACAATATTCTAGAGAATTCTAGAACAGCTTAAATTAAATCTTGAGTATTCCAGAATATTTCAGAAAGCCTCATACAGTATAAAACCAGCTTGAAATAGCCACTCAAGTCACTAAACAGACTGAAAGGGTACATCAGCATCAGAACCACTTAAGGCATTATTATTGCCCTCTCAAAAGCAGGCAAGTCTACGAGAGAAATTGCAGAAATTGCTATAACCTCGCAATCAACTGTCTCTCGAGTGCTTAGGGCACATAATGATGCCACTCCTGCTCCAAGGAAGGAAATAAGGGGACGAAAGAAAAAGATTGATGATAGAACTGGCAGGATAATCAATAGAGAAGTTGTGAAGAATAGGACTATAACTAGCCAAGAAAATGCAGTCAGTCTAAGCGAAGAGCAAGGTGTTAGTCTTGCCTCTCCCACTGTCCGTCAAAACAAAGTTACGAATATTGTTAGAACAAGGCTACAAATCTTGTAAACGAAGGTTTAAGCCGCTAATAAGCAAAGTCAACAAAGCCAAGAGACTTGAATGGGCTCACTATTACAAAACTTTCACCGTAGAAGACTGGAAGAAGACTGAAAGAATGTTCTCTTCTCCGATGAAACGAAAGTTGAGCTAAATTCAAAGGATAAGATGAGTCACTTTTATCGAACGGTACTGTATGTCACGATATATCGACACCAAAGCGTTCTATCTCAGCCTTGTCAAACCATAAGTTTGTTTCAGAATAAAGCAGACTTCTCAAGACAAACCTTCGAGAGCCTAATCTTCAGCAGAGGGGTCTTACTAGGCATCAAAAACTTCTGTCCTAGATAGTAGAGTGTTCAACTAATTGTATCCTTACTCACTTCTGGTGAGTTTCCTAGAGTTCTTATAGGCTTGTGAATGGTTTGAGTTATGTTTCCAAACTAATTGATCCAGCTGCTTTTGTCTTATTTTACGATCTGTAGACCAGCCACTTTCTTGCTGTTATCGAATGACAGCTCGAATCGTATATAATGGAGATATTTCGATATTCCAACCCACAACTACGACAATTGCCATTCAGTTTATATTGGACAGATCTCTGTTGTTTTCACTATTGTGAAAGTTTTCATACAGGCTAGCTAGATCTTCAGTGCACGTTCAAGGTAGACCCATATGTTGCAAGTTGTCACTCCTAGATCGGCGGAAACATAGGATCAGCAAGAGATAGCTGAAATTGTTTAGACCAAGATATATATATATATATATATATATATATATATATATATATATATTTGGAAAACTCAAAGGGCATATCGAGAGTGGGAGATATAGCTAAAGGCAGAAAATTATTTACCTGAGGAGCCTGTGTGAATGGATAACGGAACAGAGGATGACAGGGTTGGCAGCTGGAGAAACACTGTTCACAGCCATAAGAGATAGGAATTTGTGGAGGGCCACGACCACCCACATTCTGAAGTACACAGAAGAAGAAAAATAATATTTTAATAGAAGTCAAACTAAAATTACAATTTTAATCTGCTTCAATTATATTTTTTGAATTTTTAAAACAAGGCAATAATGCCACTAAGACGCAATGGGTCACAAGGAGTGGAAAAAAATGAGAAGACATTTGTGAGGAGAAAGGACAATAAAAGATCAGGGTTCAGGAAGAGAGAGGATGAAAATATATTTGAAAATCTTAGGAAGCAAGTAACCGGGAATTAGATCCATTGGTGAGAAGTGCGAGAGAAGAAACTATTAGAATAGAACTTAAGGTTGCATCTTGCTATTTCAACAGCATAAAGATGTGACCTAACAGCCAATCTAGCTTTAGTATCCTTAAATTCATTCGCTCGGGGTACGAAAGTGCAGAGCTCATTAGAACAATTATCCTGAAAATATTTATAGAAAAGACAGAAATGAGACATGTTACGGTGCTTGGAAAGTCAGTAATGTGATCAAACCTTCAAATTTTGGGTTAGTAGCAATGATAAAAAATGATTACTTTCATAAAAAATCCCTTATCCAATAATGTTTCGTGTTATTACAGATGGGCAAATTGTTACAATGTATTTTTAATTTCGCACAAGAGCGTGGTTTGTTTTTAATTTTGTCGACTGTACAGTATAGTAGGGTCAGTTGGGCACCGTCTATGAGAAAAAGAGCACCATGACACAATACTCCCCGTCATAAATTTGTAAACGGCATGTTGTAGTGCTTGCCATTCTCACCGGAAGCTTCAATATGAAAATTTCAGAGTGTTTGGGTGTCAACCTGAGGACAGTGCAGAGGATTCAGAAAGAGTTGGATGAGTCTAATGGTGATTATAAAGGTGTTTGAAGTGATCGTTATGCCTCCATTCGTCATCACACGGGGCCTGAGACTTTATACGTAGGCCTACATCAAGTGCCTCGAGGATGTAGTGCTGCCCGAGTTCAAGAGGCGGGGTGTGCTGCTGGAAGTCCCTATGTCTGGCAGCATGACTCTAAGAGAACCCAGTCATAACTGTCAGACAATTTCTACGACCTGATACCCCCTTACATCTGGCCACATAACTCTCCAGACTGCCAGTCCCTTAATTATTATGTGTGGGGCGCAGTTGAGTTAGAGACCAACAAAATTCTTTGTAATACTAAAGATGAACTGAAGGCTATGATTTTGGCAGTATTCACCAACTTAAACAAGGAGACCGTCCAGAAGAGTTGCTGGAGATTCCGAAGTATTCTGTAGGCCGTGGTTGAAGGCCATCACTATTGTATTGGGTAATTTTACTCTTTAGGATTTCAAGATATTTTTGTGTAATTTTGGTAAATGTATCTGTTAAAATAAGATGCCAGTGCTATTTTCATTTCTGTGTAATTTTGACGACACTATATCCATCGCACACACACACACATATATATAGTTTAAAATGTTATATTTATAGTGAAAGTATGTTCAGTATCGGAGATAGAGATATATATATATATATATATATATATATATATATATATATATATATAGAGAGAGAGAGAGAGAGAGTAAGGTAATAAAAATTCACCATTCATACTCGGTCTGAAAATTACATTAAAGCGTAAAATTGACAGTCACCATGTAGTGTTGATTCCTACCTCTATTATGTCCCCACTTCCCCCCTCTCTAGCTCTCTCTCTCTCTCTCTCTATATATATATATATATATATATATATACATATATATATATATATATATATATATATATATATATATGGATGTATGTTTTTTAAAAGCAACTGACAAGGTACTGCGATTAAGTTTTTTATTCAATTTTTATTGCATTCGTACAATTATTCTCTTTTCAGGACAGAACTAGAGTCAAAACTGTCCAAATTTTCTGTATGTCCGAGAGTTTTCGACTATTTTATTAGCCATTATATATATAAAACACTCTCTCTCTATATATATCGCATTGTGTATACAAATTGTGCTACCGGGGTTGAAAAAAAGGTACATATATATGTCTAAAATGGCGCAGCCACTCGTATCCGAGGATGCCTTTCTACCAGGGCGGTTGGCTAGCTAACCCGTGTTGCAGACACCAGTTCATGCACATTTGTGTTTATTCAGTACCCACAGATATATATATATATATATATATAAAGAGAGAGGTAGAGAAACAAAGAAATAGGAGTTTGATTGATAGATCATGGTTTTAAAATCATTTTGTTCGACTCGACCCTTTTTTATTTGCCAGATTTAAAAAAGGCGCTACATATGCACGATCGCGCACAAACCCCTCTCCTCTCTCACTCTCTCTCTAGATAGATGGATATTATTTGATTTGTTTTTTACGGCTTATCAACCTTTTGAAGATTATTTAAAACCAGAAAATGTATTTTTTTATATTGTAATTATTTTTTGAAGATAAAGTGTAACCTTGGTTCTCGAACGTTTCACATGTCGAACAAATCGGTTTTCGAACAGAAAATTCGAGATGAAAATGCCTCGGTTATCAAACAAAAATTCGGTTCTTGAACAGCATTGACTAACCAAGCCAAACCGAGTTAACCTGAACCGAATCATGTCTTAGTCGACCGCCATGTTGTATACATTCGTGTGTTGTGCTCTACTTTTCTTTTCCAATTTTATTGTGCTTTGTCGTTTTTTCCTCTTCATTAGTCCTCATTCATGGCTCCAAAGAAAGCTAGCAGTAATACTGGTAAAAGAAAAAGAAAAGTTAAGAGAAAAACAATTGTTGATGATATTGTCTCTTTCCACTCAGTTTTATATCGCAAAATCAACGATCTATTCTTATAAAGAAACGATCGTCTCTCCTTCTTTTTTCCAAACAATGGCATCTTTCCTTCCCATTCCACTTACGCCATCAACCCGCCTACATGAAGCTACGGTAAAATTGAAGTGTTCGTCTATATTTTATCTGTTTAGTACTTTTTTTCTGAGTTTTAATAATTTTCATTACTTTTATGTATTATATGATTTTCATTAGTTTTGTGTATTATATGATTTTCATTAGCTTTGTGTATTATATGATTTTCATTAGCTTTGTGTACTATATGATTTTCATTAGTTTTTTGTATAAATATGGGCGCAAAGTACTGTTGTTCAAGTTTAAATAAGCAATAATCTTGGGACCAGGAAAGGATTAATCCATTTTACATTGATTCCTATTGGAAAAAGATTTTCGGTTTATGAACATTCCGGGTTACGAACGGGCTACATGAATGAATTAAATTCGTGAACCGAGGTTCGACTATAATAACGATTTCTTGATACAAACTCGACTGGAATTGGAACTCGGCTCTCCCATTTTCAATATCGAGTCGTTATCCGTTACACCGGCAGCACATCCAAGCTTATGATACCTGGTTTTCCCAAGCGGTCACCCATTTAAGTAATGAACACGCTCGAGGTTCCTTAACTTCGGTGCTCGTACGAGAACTGTGTTTCAAGGTGGATAGATATGTATGTATGTAAATAGATAAGAGTAAAGAAAGATATTGACTTCGAAAAGATGGAAAGTAGATATGTTTGGGTCAATATTGTTTTGCCCTTTGAAGATTGTTCAATTTACATTTCGAAATAAGATTTATTATGTTTGGGAATTGGAAGAGTAATTACTTCATGCGATAATCAGAAATGTATTGCGTTTGGAATAAAACATGTGTGTAGTTCGCCTCCAGTCCAAATGTCAGTGTATTAACACAATTTTATTTGTTTCCTATTACTACTTCTCGATTGCAAATGACTCTTGGGCTCAAAATTAGGCAAGCTCTACGTGATCAATATCTTTTATGATGTCAGCGCCGTGGAATCACCAATATTAATGCATCTTGAGATGTATTCTTGAGAGAAAATGTCGGACTTGAATGCGCGAATAAAAAAGTTGTTGTTTGTGTGATCGTCGTGGAATAACGTTGAATCTTTTTAAAGAACGATAAAAAAAAGGTTTAAATTCGAAACATTCGTCAGTAATCACGTTTGTATAAAATATAATTATCATTAATACAGAATAGGTTTAAAATAACTGCTTCATGATATATAACCCAACATTAACACATGCACATATATAAACAGATAGATATATAGATAGGTAGATAGATATTGTTTCTGCCTATATATCTCTGAGATGAGGTATTATGTACACTATTTACATTGTTCGGACTATCATCCTCATATTTGTTGCTATATTTATCACAACGTTTCGGCCGTTGTACACTCCGGCTTTCTTCAGGGAGTTGGAATGTCGAACTGAACACTCCAAGTTCTCCACCGCCTTAAACATAGAAATGAATACAATATGGGAACCAGTATTAAGGAGTGCCAGAGAAAAACAATAATAAGAAAACAAAAAAAATAATAATAAGAAAAACAAAAAATAATGTCCTCAGGGACACATGGCATAGTGGATAAAGGCGTTAGTTAGATCCAGTGATAGGACCCAAAGAGTGTAAGTGGAGAACTTGGAGAGGGGAATTAACAGGAGATAACTGATAACTGACACCCATTAGACATGACGTGTCTAGAACAGTCTAACCCAGCGAGCGAAATAAAGGATTCATTCCAACCACCTGAAGAAGTCCGGAGCGTACAACGGTTGAAACGTGATAAATATGGTGACAAAGATGAGGATGATAGTCCGAACAATATAGATATTGTTTAATTTACTTTAACTGTATATCAAACTTTTCCAGGTTATTTAATACCGATTTCTGTGTTTTTCTTTAACATAGTCCATCCAATACAAGGCCCAAGGTAGAGGGTTACTGAGTGTGATTGTTGTAAGGGAGGGGGTAGGGGGAATTAAGAAATATTTATTATGACGGGCTGTAGGTGGATTCTAGACTTTTCCAAAGTAACAGTCTTCTAGGGAAGAAACTGTCTGGGTGGAACTTAGTCCTTGCTAAAAGGGATGATTTCCCACCATGAACATGGTTCTAGCACTGAAGGTCTGATCTGTTGGGTCTAAGAAACTTTGAACTTTTGCCATAGGAATAGTGATAGAGTAGTGCGAGGCTAGCAAAGTTTCGTCTTTGGGAAAGAGTTTGTGGGCCCGGGAAGAAATAGGTCCGTTCTGCAAGAGCGTTGGAAAAGGTAGAAAAAGGGTCGGGTTTGCACAAAAGTAAAAAGGTGGATATAGGTGCAGTTTGCAGGAAAGATATATATGAATGTGGTTTGCACGAAGGTCAGTTAGGTAGATATGGGCCTGGTTTGCACAAAATTCTAAAAAGGAAGGTATAGGTCCAGTTTGCACTTGTGTCAAAAAAGGTAGAAATAGGTGCGGTTTGCTCGTTAGTCGAAAAGCCAAACATAGGTGCGGTTTGCACAAGAGTCAAAAAGTTAGAAATGTGTCCGGTTTGCACAAAAGTCAAAAAGACAGACACGCATCGAATTAGCACTGGTATAAAAAAAAATCAGGGATAGATGTAATTTAATCTAAAGTAAAAAACAAAACAAAAACAAACAAAAACAAACAAAAAAACAGATAGACTTAGATTGTACGAGAATCATAAAGGCAGACACAGGTCTATTTTGTAGGAATGTCGAAAAGGTAAAAATAGACCCGGTTAACACGAAAATATAAAAGGCAGGCATATGTGTGGCTAACCGGTAGCCTCTTTTTTTGTGTGAGCGTGTGTGGGGGGTTACAACTATGCGTATTCTTGACCTCAAACAACAGGGCGAATAATTATGTATCTTTTATTTTTAATAGGGATGATTTGCAAAAGAAATTTCGAAAGAACTTATTTTTTATCGTTTTCTTCTTTCTTTCAAATTCGTTACATTTCCTTTGATTCCCATCACCGAAGAAATTCCCCGTCTTTCCTCGTATTCCGAAACGAAAGTTGCAAAAAAGAATTTCATCTTTTTACCATTGTTTGCTCCCAAAGACAGTTGAAGAGAGAAAAGAAAAAATAATTGAATTCTTAAATCTCAGTCTCTTCTGGTACTTTGGGAATATGCCAATGCCTAATAGAAACAAAAATAATCGAAGAGAAACGCGATTATGAAATTAGTTTTGTCTGCTGCTATGAGTTCGCCATACATACGGCTTGAAGATTGCGTTTAAGCATAAAACAGAGTCCAGCCAGTTCGTGTTGACGTCAGTGATCACCCTAATGGTGCTGCCATTCAAGAACGAATATTCCCAGTTTGAATTCCCCCATTATGTGCATTATTAAATCCATTATATATTAAAACATAAATACACGGATTGAACAGAAGAGATGAAAGAAAGGAATGACAACATGCATGGTTCAGAAAGAGATTTTTTTATGTCATTAAGAATGTTACTAATTTGTTCCACAAAGAGAAAGTAACATATGTATAAAATATGCAGTGTGAATGATGGCCAAGAAAGTCTAGATCTAAATTGTAATAATTCCCGACGAGACTGGTGGTGTGCTCTGTGTGTGATGTGAGACCCTGAGGTTTTCGCTGTATACACTAAAGCTGTGAGCTTGTGACGTCCGTCTTCTTCGCCACCTCCATAGCAACTGGCCTTAGCAGACACGTTTTGCCTACGGCAGAAGAAATAGCAACTGGTCTTTGTTAGTCAGTCAACTAACATCACTGACGGGATTCTCGTGACTTCGTCTCAACCAAAGGGAGATAATGGCCCTTTGCAAACTTAGGACTCTTAGATTTAAAAAAGAGCTATCTCGGATAGTTTTTACTTTTGCCCATAAATATAACCCCTCTCTCTCTCTCTTTCTACCCCCCACACGCACACACACGCATATATACACACACACACATATATATATATATATATATATATATATAAAATGTTCATACACTAATATTCCATGGTTAAAATTTATTACATTGGAATCGTAATCACGATCCAATTAATAAGGCCTAGAAATTTGACTTTGAATTGAATTTGTCGGTCTGATGAATTTGGATCGTGATTACGATTCTAATGTAATAAATTATAACCATGGAATATTAGTGTTTGAGCCTTTATATTATATTCTTACTTTATTCTAGACATGGAGTTCTACCTGGATTCTATCCTCTTGAAATTTTATGTCAACACCAAACACTCAGGCTTGACGGTTTCGTTTAACATGAAACAAACTGTCGCCTCTTGATGTTGACTTATATTTACATACGTTCTATCCCTGATACTGAGACCTTTAACCTATAAATATAGCATACCTTAAAATTATATATATATATATATATATATATATATATATATATATATATATATATATAAAAGTTAACATTGAAGTCAACACTTAGAGGCGACAGGCTGTTTCGTGCTAGACGTCTGACGATTGCGTCTAGCATGAAACAGACTGTCACCTCTAAGTGTTGACTTCTATGTTCACTTTATATTTACACACGCTCTATCTCTGATATTGAGCAATTATCCCATAAATATAGCACACCTTAAGACTATATTTCTTCATATATATATATATATATATATATATATATATATATATATATTATTTTTAATTTATTTTGTTTAAACGTTATTTTTGATGGATACTCATATTCGAGTAGAACCTCTTTTTTTAAACACTAGTTTTATTCCACTACATCTACCGACCCTGAATATTCGAGAAATCTTGTCAAAAAATGTCACCGGACAATGCATATTTTTGTGACAAGATTTTTGGGTTGACATATGTCTGTGGTAGAATAATGCTTGTATGTATGTAAGCTTGAATATGTGCATGAATATATTTTTCTCTCAATCGATATTTAATAATGTCGAACATTTTACAATTCACTCCCACCTGAGTGAGAACGCCAGAAATACATCCACCCGTACGAGAGCAATTTCGGTTTTGTAAATTGATTACGAATAAAGAACGCTTTTCATGAATAAATGCCGAGAGAAATTAATCGAAAATTGAACTTTCTGAACTCACTTTTACTGGTACCTATGCTTATCCATCTATACTCTTCATCAGTCTCTTTATGCCTTGTCTAAGCCAGAAAATGCCAAATCTCTCGGCGATTTAACGACGTACTGACCTATGTCGATATTCGTTTTGTACGTTTCTATCAAGTAACAACAAACTCTCTTTTCACCAAATAAAACGGCCGTCTGGAATAGGCGTGCCGGTGTGAAGTTTTCAACTTATAAAACAAGAGTATAAGCTTAAGAAAACCGGACGAAAATAATCGTATCGTAGAGAAAATGATTTGAAATATAATAAGCGTGCCGTACACAAATAAATATTGTGCAGATGAGGAAACTAAAAGTAATAATTGAATCGTGCTTGTTTGAAGTAAGTATGCCATTATAACCTTTTATTTATTAATAGATAATTCCTAAAATTCAAAATGAGAATCTGCAATGTTATTGGACTTGACCTGGCATCTCGGCTTCAGTCAGTTTCGCACTTTATATGCCTTTTCTATAAGTTCATGGTAATTGTTCTGATAAATTTCCTTTATGTTATCTGGACTTTATGAATTTAAAATTAAGA